TAACATTCAGGTAACAATGGCCTTTAAAAAGTTCATTCATGCATTACAGCCTACAGTCATTTTATCAAACTGTTAATTCTGATGATGCAGGGATAGTAACAATATTATCCACTGTACCTTCTTCAGACAATTTAAACACTTCATTGCATGCTTTGAGTGATAAAAATGCAGTTCCACCAACAGCCATTGAAACAATTGAACTCAATGCAAAAGTTGAATTAGCTAGAAATAGACAGTATAAAGATAAACATAACGCGGTAACGCAGATTATGGCACCTACTACATATAAACTCGCATGTAGTTTCTTATTAGATATAAGACTGTCTTTTATGTCTGCAATTTGCTTAAGTTTTTCTTGGTCTCTAACGTATAAACAAGCAAGAGGAGTTTTGCTATCCTTCCTTGAAGTACAATTTTTACTTCGTAATGCATCTTTAATATATTCTTCTTTATGATTTAACTCTATCTCTAATCTCTTTAATTCTTCCCACTCTTTGGCATTTTTCGCTTTGGTAATTGCTTTACTAGCTTCTGACCTTATATCATCAAGAATTTTCTCCACAACAGGAAGCAAAATTCTACATCTTGCTGCTTCGTGAAACGGGTTATTTCCATTGTCATTTTGTTGTGTTACAAGAGCAATATTTTTCTTACAAATGAACACGAAAGCATCTGTATTTCGTGCTCTAGCAGCCGTATGCAAATAGCTATCTCCTATTACCTTTTGCTTTGTTTTATCAAACGGACCATTGTAAATATAGTCAACATCTGATTTTTCAATGAGTAAATTCTTATCTTCTAGTGACAACTGCTTCCACAAAGCTGTATTCTTAATTACGATGCACAACGGAGTGTCACCATCATCATATCTAATACTTTTTAACTTCACTGAGTCTGTATTGCTCTGCAATAATCCTATGATACTTTCATAGTCTGACTTTTCTTGCAGTTTTTCAATTAAATCAGCTTTAGAATATTCTCCCATAATTCCTCCTTTACTACTTACATAAAATTATACCACTTAATTTATCAAAAAGCAACTTAAACACGTGTCATATTATACCATTGTTCCGCGTTTAAAATTTCTATACCCAACTCCTGCGCTTTTTGGTATTTCGATCCTGAATTTTCCCCTGCAACCAGGTAGTCAGTTTTAGTGGAAAGGCTGGAGCTTACTATTGCTCCTAGGGTTTTAGCTCTAGCTTTAGCTTCATTTCTACTCATAGTCAGTGTGCCAGTGAACACTATAACTTTGTTGCTAAAGATGGAGTTACTATTATTTACATCAACAGAAAGAATTGTTAGATGGGAAGTAAGATTATTTAATACTGCAATATTGCGTTTTTCAGAAAAGAATAACTCTAAGCATTTTGCCACTCCTTTTCCTATGCTATCTATGTCTAGTAGTTCAGAAAAAGCTTCTTCATCTGAGGACAATTTCATCATAGATAAGTACCAATTTTCATACGAGATATAGTAATGTGCAAGCAATTCTGCTATAACTTGGCCAATAGACCTAATGCCTAAAGAAAATATAAATCTATCTAAGGTTATTACTCTTCTATTTCGTATAGAAATCAACAAATTAACTATTGACTTCTCACCCCAGCCTTTTTCTTCTTTCATGTCAAGCTTGTTCAGTTTTTCTTCTAGAGTAAAAATATCGGAAATTTGTTCTATGAGACCGCATTCATAGAAAAACTCTATTTGCTTTTCTCCAAAGCCATCAATATCAAATGCATCTTTTGATACAAAATGTTTCAGCTTTCCTATGATTTGAGCTTTACATGTAAACTCTCCAGAACATCGTGTTACAACTTCTCCTTCTAGCCGTTGCACTTTACTTCCGCATTCAGGACAAGCTTCAGGGNGAATAACTCTAAGCATCTTGCTACCCCTTTTCCTACGCTATCTATGTCTAGTAGTTCAGAAAAAGCTTCTTCATCTGAGGACAATTTCATCATAGATAAGTACCAATTTTTATACGAGATATAGTAATTTGCAAGCAATTCTGCTATAACTTGGCCAATGGACCTGATACCTAAAGAAAATATAAATCTACCTAAGGTTACTACTCTTCTATTTCGTATAGAAGTCAAAAAATTAACTATTGATTTCTCACCCCAGCCTTTTTCTTCTTTTATGTCAAACTTGTTCAGTTTTTCTTCCAGAGTAAAAATATCGTAAATTTGTCCTATGAGACCGCATTTATAGAAAAACTCTATTTGCCTTTCTCCAAAGCCATCAATATCAAATGCATCTTTTGATACAAAATGTTTCAACTTTCCTATGATTTGAGCTTTACATATAAACTCTCCAGAACATCGTGTCACAGATTGTCCTTCTAGCCGCTGCACTTTACTCCCGCATTCAGGACAAGCTTCAGGGAATATAAATTCAGNCTTCTCTGATATCTTTGCGCTTAATTTCATCTTGGTTGTGGAGGCTTGCTCTGCCAATCAATACTCCACCAACATTGATTGGGACTAATTCTGCAACTGGGGTTAAAGCTCCAGCCCTGCTAACTTGTATGAGTATTCTATTTAACTTAGTTTTTGCATGCATTGCGGGAAATTTATAAGCAAGTGCTGAGCGTGGAGCTTTGTGAGTACGGCCTAACCGATCTTGTAATATCAAATCATTTACTTTATAAACTATGCCATCTATATCATAATCTAAATCATAACGGCAATTGTAAATTTTATCATAAAATTCCAGCATCTCCTCTAAAGTACTTGTGATAAGTTGATTTTCATTTACACAAAAACCAAGTGTTTTTAAAGTACTTAATACTTCGTGCTGGTTCTTTGATGCTCCACCTATTAAAGAGTAAGCAAAATATTTTAGTGGCCTGCTAGCTGTAATATTTGCATCAAGTTGCTTTAGAGAGCCTGCAGCTGCATTACGTGGGTTGGCAAATGCATTTTGTACATTTAGTTTTGCAAAATCTTTGTTAGAAATATATACTTCACCTCTTATTTCTAGCCTACCTTCCAGGCTCTGTAAAAATTTAGGAAAGTCCTGTATAGTTGCAACATTATGGGTTACATCCTCTCCTACATGACCATCACCACGAGTTGCAGCTCTAACAAATACTCCATTTTCATAAATTGCAGAAAATGACAGACCATCTATCTTAGGCTCACATATTGTTTCTACTCTATCTATATTTAAAAATCTTTTTATCTTGGATAAAAATTTCTCTACACCTTGCTCATCATGAGCATTGTCAATGGAAAGCATAGGTTCTATATGTTCTACTTTAGCAAACCTTTCATCTGGTGCAGCACCAACGCTATCTTCAAACTCTGTTGTTGTTTCAGCTACTTTTTTCTTTAATTCATCGTATTCAGCATCAGTGATTTCTGGTTTACTTTTCTGATGATACAGTACATCATGATAATTAATTTGTGCTTGCAGATCAGCAAGTTCTTGCTTTGTCTTGTCTGTCATTTTTTGACCTTTGTCAATGGACCACTTAAAAAACCTATTTCTGATAGCAATTTTGTCGTCAAAACTTGCCTACACTTCTCAAATGCATCCAAGTATTCTGCGGTACTCGCCTGCATTTTTCCTAAAACATTTCTCATCATAAACAGGTCCTGCAAAAGGTCTAATTTAGCT